ACCTTAATGTGGAACAATTTGAAAACCGGGCCCAAAAAAAAAAAATCTAAATACACGGTTAGATTTATCAAAGCAAAGAACCCTAATAATCTATTTTATTTGTTAAAATCAAGCAAAGTTTAATTTTGGACCCTTTGGACCTTCATGAGGACCAAATTGAAAACAGACCCCAAAATAAGAATCTATGAATACACGGTGAGATTCTGCATATAAAAAACCCCAAGAATTCAAGACTTTGAATGAAACCCCATTGAAATTGGTCAAGAAATGAAAAACGTATGAAAAGTATAAGAAAAGTATTGTTTTTAAGTCATTTTTCCTAAAACGATTCATTTTAGACTTATACTTAAGTTATTGTCAGGAAACCAGAAAATCCTAGGTTTTTTTTTACCGATTTTTTGGTCCGTAATTCTTTTACGTTTTGGACCAAAATCAGTCACAACATTCCTTATGAAGTATGAAACCTTGTGGCACAAATTCATTGAGATCCATACACTTATAATTAAGTTATTGTCCTGAAACAAGAAAAATGCTTATTTTTGGTCATTAATTCCTACAAAGTTGGGACAATAACCCTCAAATCCATTCTAACTTTCCTTATGTGGTATGAAACGTTGTGGTACAATTTCATAAATATCCATACACTTACATGTATACTCAAGTTATTGTTTGGAAACCAAATGTCTTCGGACAACGACGACAAACGTCATACCATTATACGACCGCAAAATCACTCTTTTATGCAAGGTTGTGCCTGAGATGGTAATGATGGATGGCTTTTTAATGTCCAGTGGCTAATTATATGCATTTTCAGGACGAGAACATGTTATTGTAAAATGAATTATTAACTCTGCTTTGGATATAGACCAACACGATGAGCCGGACGTGCAAGTTCGTGATGTTATATTTCGCAGGAAGACATGTTATCCTACGCGGGTTCAATATTTTGACTCCGAGCCGACCAGTCTCTGCTTTTACTTATTAATGCCGCGTGCTTGTAGAGAAGCAGCAAAAAACAATTTTAAAATCTTTGGTTTGACCAGACCGAAGTTCCCATAACCTCCGCAACTTCATGCACATCTTCACATTACAGGTTGCAACACTATATGCAATGTCATTCGATTCCAAAAAACGTGTAGAAAACTATATCAATGTGCTTTCCCATAGGGTTTTATGCAGAACAATTATCGGAAATCTATGGTGATTTGCAAAATAATTGTCAAAATCAAACTCTAACTGAACAAAGTGACTGTATCCAAGTTGTAGTTATTGCATGAATACTGTCTTAATTTTAATATTTGTTTTGTTTTTACCTTCTTAATTTCTCGATCATTTATACCGAAGTAACTATTTACCAATGTTTTACGTAATTTCATATGAAAGACAACTCTGTTCTTATGAACTGATTTTTACACCACCCAGGTATTAGTTGGGAAGTATCACTCGAATATATTGGCCTGTTTGAAGTCAGGAGCCTTTAATTCTGTTGTTGTCGTATCGGTAGCTGTATGCCATCTATGTTTTTTTTTTCAATTATTGTTAATCATAAAGGAATCACCATTAATAAACTTATATTATTTTGCACGGGGGAGTAGTGGGGGATAGACAAGATTTTAAAATGAAAAGTCTAACCTGGGGTAAATAAAAAAAACAGGCACAAGAATATGAAAGAAGAGTGACGCTACAGTACCAACAGGTGAAATATACTGTTGTTTTTCCCCGCCTAACCCTCCTGATAAAGATAAAACCAGAAAAGAGCTTTGGACGCAATAAATTAATAATATTTTCCCATTTTGTCACCAGGAGCAAAAGAAGTTAAGTAACTATATATATATATATATATGCTGACGAATTATTGAAGCTCACGTCTTAACTGATAGCCATAAAAATAAAGAGAAAACGCATGATTACCAATAACAATCTACTGGAGACAGAAAACGTTGGTATTGGCAACTAGTATAATGGTCTGGATTGGGGTCCTTCATTTCTGAATCCTTAATGTTTTAGGCCATTTTTCTCTAATCATTATACTTTTTGCCAATTATTCTCTATTCTTTATATTCTAACACCGCATTATTCTCTTTTCTTTATTTTTTGGTCCATTTTCTCTATTCTTTATATTTTTTTGCCCATTATTCTCTGTTCCGTAACCTCTAGTATAGGTCACCATATAGACTTCAAAAAGGAGTAAAAGTCATCACGAATAGGTCCCGAATGGCAAAATGATTGAATGTTAATCCCATTTTGAATTGTGAACTTTGGGAAATTGGTTTTTCAATCAAACGATCTTAATAAAAAAAAAACAGATTATCGTCGTGAATGTTCGTGTAAAAGTACTAAATACTGACAGATGGATCTAGGTCATCAGTTCTAATCATCTTAGATTACTAACCTTTCAAAACTGAAAAGTAAAGATCATGCATCCTTATTGTTCAGATTGATAAATTCTTTTCCATTCGTCGACATTATCTTCGATGTAAATACTATTGGTCTGATAATCGCTGTGCAGGGCTAGTTTTCTTATTAGATAACCCCCCTTGTTAATGTGATGTTGTAATCAATCGTTTTATTTTTACGATCTTTATATAATATTTCATTGTATTATTTAAATTTGTGATTCATTTAATATTTAGATATAGTAATTTTATATTTTATAATAGATAAAAACAAGGAAATTTGAAAGTCTTTGATTCATTAATTACCTTTGTTCAAATCATAAGTCAGGCGGTCTATTCTGTCTACATTAAATAGTAAATACACCGGGGTATCATTGGCTGTCAAAAAGGATAGGAAAACGTTGTATAACGGAAAACGAGAATTAAATAGAGCGAAATGCAGAAATTGAATGTAAATGGTGATTCTTTTCTTGTTTAGAGAAATCGAAAAACAAAAACAAAAACACTTTTGATATTCATTTAGGTTTTTGAAAAATCAAAAACGAAAAATGAAAACACTTCCGTTATCCGTTTTGGTTTTCGAGAAATCAAAAATGAAAAACGAAAACACTTTTGTTTTTCATTTTGGTTTTTTAGAAATCAAAAACGAAAAATGACAACACTTTCGTTTTTTGTTTTTTGTTTTCGATATTTCAAAACGAAAAACGAATGGTCGCAAATATACACGGACCCTTTATATCGTTGTTTTGTTTTTTTGCAATTTTAAAAGTCCCCTTGCTATCTTCTGCTTTTTCATATATCAAAAACATAACTAAGTTTAGTTTAAAATGAAAAAAAAATAATCATTTTCTATAAGTATGCAGGAAAAAAAGAAAACATTCTTATAATTTCTCCGACAAAGCTCATTGAATAAAAACCGGACTTTTGTTTTTAGCATTTGATGTCTCAAAACTAAACACGAATGGACGCAAATATATTGGGATTTCGGATGAATACTCTGTATGTATTGTGTAAAATGTTGATTGTTACCATTTTAGGTGGTGGTATCATTACATGTATTTAAATCGTAAAATAAATTTCTGTCTGAAATAAAGAAATATATATGTATATATAAAAAAACAGATACTTAAATAGGAAGTTTTTTTTATTCACACCTGCTCTTGATCATTTCCTGAAGTAAAAGCTAATTTGGAACTGGTCTTTTCAAGTTTCATTGTAATGCACTTGAAATACATTTGAAAATGGAAAAAACAATTTATTATGCGTTAAATTACCGGACATTTAGTGGTCAAAACATTTTTTTAACGAAGTACAGGAACAAGGAAATCATTTTAACAATAAGTTTCGGTCGATTCATTGTAGTGTGTTTCCAAGTACTAACGTAGTTATATCAAATATATCTAAAAAGTCGTGGTATTATGTCTGGTTTTTCGATATATCGTGATTCTACATTCATCACTTTGATGGTTATTTGGCAGCGTGGTCACCTCTGAGTGTAGTAGGCTTTAGATGTTATCCGCGGAATGAACAGAAATCTTTGAAACTGGTATATGCTGTTTTATAGATAATAACGCAGCGCACGGCTATGAAAAAAGTAATTCTATTCGTTTTGGTTATAGAATAATATTCTCCTTTATGAGAAATTTCGTCTTGCTGTGGACTAAATTTACTTACAACATTAAAAATCAGACTCATCGTGTCAGTCGCGTAAAAAACCGGATATTCGATATTTGCCTGAACATTTATTTTAGCTATGTACATGCTATTTATTTAAACTGTTTTCCTGTTGGTCCCTATTTTAAAAGATTTTTGAAATCTATATCGAGCTTTTATTTCTTTTGATTAAAATCGCACCAACATACACATTTGGATATGGATATAGACACCTGTCGTTTCAATTAAATATTTTGATTGCATCGTACACGATCATCAAAAGTTTTTGGTTGAACAAAAATGATTTGAACGACGGTTAATACTAATGGAGCAAGAAGTGAAAATTTGTCTAATTATGTAGATGTTCACCTTAATGTGTCTGATGTTTTGTTGATCATTTACCCATCAAATCAATATACAAATAAGAAGATGTGGTAGAATTGCCAATGAGACAACTCTCCATCAGAGACTGAATGAGGTAAAGGTTAATGATAACTCAACAAGTGAAATACCGACTGAGTAATCATGCGTGGATCTAATTTGATTACATGACACTATAGACAGTTAACTGATTAGAAGCTGTATAAAGACTGGATACAAGAGGTCAACTATGATCAGATTTATATCGAACAGTTTTCAACAATAGTTTCCATTATGTACCTTTGGGTATTCACAGTTATCTCATTTACATATTCGAACGCACCCTAAGTACGCTAACGAGAAATATGCACACAAATCTTAAACAGATTTTAACATTTTCCGACCGTGTAAGACCCTCATGGGTAGTCAAGGTCGTTAACCCCCCCCCCCCCCCCCCCCCCCCCTCGTCGTTAGGTTTTAACATAGTTTTGACGAAAATGGGTTATCATAAAAATAGCTTACCTTCATCAATGGTGTTACATTAAAACAAAATGAAACAGTTGCATTCCATTTTCATTTTATAATTTTCAGGATGGCAGCCAATTTCACAAACGGAACTCTTACATATTTGAGGGAAATAGAATACCAAAGAGTTCTAGAAAAAGATATCCCAGCTACACTATTTCTCATATTTCTGTCAGTCATAGGTACAATTGGAAATATACACACGATATTGGTATATATATATATATTATCCACGATCATGGCAAAATATTCGGTTCGAGTTTTTATCATTTGGCTTGCCTTTATCGATCTTACAGCATGTGTATTTTGTATGCCTTTTGAGATTTTCGATATTCGATACGACTACACATTTTCATCTGTCGGTGCTTGCAAATTCTTCAAATTTCTAATTCATGTTGTTACAGGGGCTTCCAGCATATTATTGACTACAATTGCCATTGAAAGATATAGAATATTTGTCAAAAATGAACCGATACTAATTACAAATTCACAAAGGTCGAATGTCATATCTTCTGTTCTCGTAGGATTATGCATGATATTGTCAATCCCAGTATTAATATATTATGGTGTGAACGAAATAGAAACAAACATTTTTGGTCTAATGGGTGAGGAATGCAAACTTCATCCAATGTATAAAAATATAGAATATTTAGGAATTTATTACAGTATAACATTATTTATAGGTTTAGTTTGCGTTGTTATGTGCATAGTTTCATATGGAAGAATACTGCAAGATATTTGTACTCGAAAAAAATGGAGGAAATCAATAAGAAAGAGATCGGTTTCGTCTTTGAATTCAACTTCGGATATAAGATCGGGTACCACTCAAATAACATCAACTATTCAAAATGAGGCGGTAAAATTAAATAAATTGCAAGCTGGAACCTGTGACAGGGCAAACAAAAAGTCGACTCGTTCATCGCACAATCTTGGAAATGCGATTCGACTAACCATTAGCCTCATGATAGCAACCGCTGTATCCTACATAGGAAATATGTTATATGTTTTCACGAAAATGGTCCATATATTGAATCCTAAGATGTATAAAAACAGTATCCGGCCAGTCTCCGATATCATAGGGCGCGGATTTTTTGTTAACAATGCAACTAATCCTGTAGTTTTTTGTCTTTTGGATAGAACTTTTCGACAGGAATGCCTGAAATTGTATGGGAAGATATGTTCTGAGAAAAATAATTCACCGGAATAAAAATGATAAAACCTTCTATGATTCATAATTTGATACAGCTTATATGCCTATATTTTGTGTGACAGGATTGCAAAAGAGGTATTCTACTTAACCAGATTAGCGCATTCTTGATTTTTTACCTTAAAATTGTATATATGCCAATTTGTATTACATTTGAAATATTTACATCGTACAGTTATGAATAAACCAAAATTTGAGAAAGTTTGCACAATCAAACAACACATGCTGACGAAATTCGACACCTGAAAGTTACACAATCTCAATTGTTGTATAATAAAGTCTTCTCTATGAGAAACTTTATCAAACAATAATGTTTGGAATATTGGATAAAGTGTTATTGTAGGATATATTATTATAAAGAAAGTGTTTTGAGTAAATACGTATTTGCCCATGTCTGTAAAATATATTAACTACCAAACTCTAATTTAAATTAAATATAGAAAAGTCCATAAAACCTGACAAAACCAAACGCACCACTATATCAACCAATAGAAAGACTGGAAAACAGTTATCATATTTCTGACTTGGTACATGGAGGTTTATATTTCAATGAACGTAATCTATATATAATTGGTAAAGTATTAATTCAGGGATTTCGTTACTAAAAATTACTTGAAATTATATTACTAAATTCTTTCAAAGATACATCGCTTTGGTTTGAAAATTTTGTTGTAGCTATTGAAACCTTATTACAAAAGGGATATCACACCCTACGTTTTGCCATGATTATGTTTATAAAGCCTGTTAATTTAGATACCATCCATATGCATGTACACTTATTTATCCTTTGAAGAAAATTACTCTTAGGTTATCAATTTAACACAATACTATTATATTTGAACATTAATTTTGTTATAACTAGATTAAAACATAACTAAATATGTATTGCAGTACAGATATGAATACTAATGGTGCCACATTCTGTTGATATTTATATATTAGCATAGGGGGTAATCTTTTTAAAGATGGTTCATGAAGTCTTTACAATAAATCGATTGGATGTGTACTGACTTATATTAGTCTCGAAAACTTAATATATTTATTAGTTGTAATTTGCTTTTAACTAGCCTTTAGTAACTGCGTGTACTCGCAGATGGGTACTTTGTGTCTTCTGTCTTCTTCATAGTTGTGTTTATATCTACGTTTCGATCTGTATAGTCAATCACTTTTGAACTATTTATTAGCAGTTTCTTCTTTCGTTGTTTTAGTATTTGTCGCTCGTTACTGTCTGTCAGATCTGTTTCCCTTAAATATTTAATCATACTTAAGGACATTTGTTACTCTTTTAAATTGTTTTACGTTTTGTCGTGTCGTTGCTTTTTATATTTATAGCTTACTACAAGGTATGGTTTTGCTCATTGTTGAATACCGTACAGGGACCAATAGTTGCTTGCATCCAAGTCATTAGATCTCTGACGGATTGTTGTCTCATTGGCAATCATATCGCATCTCCTTATTTATACCTACGCAGAAACACTGCCGAACGTGGCGTTTTGCACCTTTGGGGGACAGATAGATAGACGCGCGTTTCGTCTACAAAAAACTCATTAGTAACGCCTGAATAAAAAAAAAAGACTAAGCAACACGAACCCCACCAAAAACTTGGGGTGATTTCAAGTGCTCCGGAAGGGTAAGCAGGTCCTTTTCCATATGTGGCATCTGCCATGTTGCTCATGTTAGTACAAATCCGGTAAATAGTCTAATTCAGTAGGTCACATTCGTGAAAGGGATTGTAGTTACGACATTAGGAACATATCCGCAATCATCTGTGAAACGGATATTCCATATATTCTGAACGTATAAGATGTTATATATGGAGTTTACTTCATCTAAAAGAGTTTTATAAAAAAATTTGTAGTTGTTTTATCTGATGCAATTTTTCTGCACTTGAATGTACAATCGAAATTTGATATAAATTATTGTTATCTTTTACCATCACAAGTAATCATAATTTTAATCGACAACAGGAAAGAGGAAAAATTTCTAGCGCCAAACGATATCTTTAAAATAAACCTCACTTGTTTCATCACAGTTTATTTTTAGATAACTTATGTCTGATTAAAACATTGTACTGTGACACCGATTTAAATCATACTGTTGTTTTTTGATTTATCGTGATCAATATTTTTAGCAAATAATCATACAAAAAAAAAACATATTTAAGTCAATAGACATATGTAATATCCAAATATATCGGCTGTCCTAGTGAACTACCCTGCCTACTTCTGTAGACATCAAATGGTTTATATTGAATTCAAATGTAGCTCATTTCTTTGTGTAAATGCTAAAATATGACTACATTTGAAATATGAATATCTAAATACTTTTTCCCTGAGTTTCAATATTGCACTACTTAGTATTATGTGACAGATGCTCCCATCGAGCCACTTGAATCACTGATGTTATAGCCATAACAGTTACAATGTCTGCCAATTTTATTGGGAATATGGATATTTGATCACCGTGGCTAATTTTCGCGGGTTATATATTCACTTCCGACGCTTTAAATTCTACGATAAAAATACTACATGTAATTTAAGGACGAAGTAGTTCAAGAATAAATCCAAATGTACAGTCTATAGAAGGGTAAACCGACAGAATTGTTGACCTGTAATAACATGTTGTATTTGGTATCCTACCTACAATAACATGTTGTATTTGGTATCCTACAGTCTATAGGAGGGTAGACCGACAGAATTGTTGACTTGCAATAACATGTTGTATTTGGTATCCTACCTACAATAACATGTTGTATTTGGTATCCTACCTACAATAACATGTTGTATTTGGTATCCTACAGTCTATACGAGGGTAAACCGACAGAATTGTTGACTTGTAATAACATGTTGTATTTGGTATCCTACAGTCTATAGGAGGGTAAACCGACAGAATTGTTGACTTGTAATAACATGTTGTATTTGGTATCGTAATTAATGTCCTTTTGACACAACTCACATCTTGCAATTCCTTTGGCATCAATTTTCCTGATTAACTGGCTGACTGGATTGCCCTACACCGAACGCTCTACCCTATCCCTCTTTTAACAATTTTTTTACATCCTTGTCAACCTCCAATACGTGAAACCATGTTTACATCTTGTTCTCGACCAATAACTTTCGTTCTGTTAAAAAAACATAGCTTTGGCCAATCAAACAAGTGCTTGTTTCCGTTTTTGGAAGTTTTTTTTTACCGGAATCGGAGAAGAGCGGAAAAAAATCCGGATTTGCCGTGAATGAAAAAAAACGGAATTCAAAGCCGAAAATCGGAAAGGAGCCGAGCGGAAAGCGGAATTCCGCTATAAAGCGGAAGAAAATCAGGTCTGTATAATAATAATCCTACATGTAATGAAAATAACACTTTATACATTTTGTGGGTTCAAAACGCTTCTCTCAATTTACCTTTATCAGCAACACACAAACCTTAAACGTTGAACATAAGGATGATAAGATACTTGTACAAGTTGAGATGAGCTATATAACCAAAAAGGACACACAAATAATTATTAAAATTATTCGAAGGTAAAATGTGCATGTGTGTGACTTTGCAACAGATTTTCCATATCTACAATCTGCATTGTTGCTCGGATTTTTTAATCTTTAAAGAAACTGTACATCTTTTAAGAAATACTTTGACTGGAATGGGCAGAATATTTATGCACTTCGAAAAACAAAAAGGACACTATCTGCCAAAGGGACTGTATACGCTGTGACTGGGAAATCTAATAGCAATAGTATCTTTAGATTAGAGGTAGAAGATACCGAAAAGGATATTCAAAATCATAAGTATAAAAAACAGACAACGCCTTGGCATATAACGACAAATCACCAAAAGACAAACAAAAGAATACAAACCACAACGCAACGTGAGAATCCGGAGATTATCTCAGGTGCTCTGGATGAGCAGATCCTGCTCCTACACATATGGTTCCTGGCATGTTGCTATTGTTATTACACAAGTCTTATTCGGTATGTCACATTTCAAGAATAGACGGCGGACATGACAATTGAAACATATCCGTCGTTATACATGAAACAGATATTCAATAACGTGCAAACAACTCGTGGTTTAATATCTTCCTTGTTAGCAGTAAACCTCTATCAAAGTAAATCATGACGGAAATGCAAGCTCTGGGATATGGTAACCGGGAGATTTCTAGTACATATGAAGGTGCTGCAGTTGAGTTGCTACATAAAAACAGAAAGTTCACAACTTGGAAGCTAATGCGTAAGTCAAGATATGAGGCAGTCTTAAGTTTATCTGTCGTATCCTTTATGTTTATACGATTGGATAGATGCGTTCGACATAGTCACCAAACGTTTAGTGATAGAACATCATGTATAAAACAGAACGTGAAATTGAAGGATCATGCTTGCTTTTTATTCTTTCTAAGAATTTCCTGTATAAAAGTTGTCTAATGTAACTGAATAAATACACATCGACAAGAAAATGAGCACAGTTGGTTCTCATAGGAATTCCGATTGTTTGGTGAAAAACATGTCCTTCAAACCTAACATGTATGTTGTCGATCAAGAAATCAAGCATCTCGATAATGTCAGTTTTAGAGATTTAGTTTGAATCAGTATTTTTATTTTCAAACGTAGGATTTATTCCTCCCTTAAACAAGATATATGTGTTTACGTTAGCAATTTTTTTTTTATGAAACAAAGTAGGACCAATTCGTTTAATTTGTATTTTTCTAATTTGGTATTGGGAGTACTAGTGTAAAGGGTAAACAAGTCAAAGATTTTAACACCATTACAAGTGGGAAGAGACTTAGATTTATGTACTTTGGAAATTTTTTATCATCTGATTCACCCCGCACGAGTATGAAGTCTGTTTTTTTTATGATCAAAATGATGTATATATTTTTGAAAAGAGGTTTCGTGAAGCACTTGGAAGACCCAGGACTATAACGTTGTTTGTAAGGACACTGTATCAAATACAGTGTAATATAATCCAGTTTTTCATCTTTGGTTGATATTCCAAAGAAACATAGAACACACCCAAGTTGATTCAGAATTTCCTCTTTGGTTTATGCTGTAAAGGTTAATTTGGAGTTTCAATGTGAATTGTCAATGCCTTATTCTTTTATAAAGCAGGCTTTGTAA